AGTCCAGTCCCATGCAGAAGAACAATCCTCAAAACAAAGCCCTGGGAGTCACTCCAATCTCTTCTTGCAGGAGGCTGGCTGCTCAGGGCAGCAGCCCACTGGGATACTGTGCCTTCCCAGTGGGTGAGGTCAAAGGCACAGGACAATGCCTGCCCCTCTAGGAGGAGGTGGGGTGGCAGAAGATTCGGGCTGCAGTTGCGCCTGATTTCAAGTCACCCTTAAATGCTAATGATCCTGTATTTGAAATAACTTCAACTAAACCATATCCCCACAGCTCACAAGACCTACGCGGGCCCTGGCTATTACAGAGCCCCTGCCTGAGGCACTGGGGTTGGGGGAGTCCCTGGGGGAGGGAACCAAACCTCTCAAGCAGAAGTGCACAGAGGGGAGCAACAGAAAGGAGGCCCCTCGCGTTCCTTAGGAAGAGTGTAGCGGGGGTCAGTTCCGTTGGAGGTGTAGATGCCAAAAGTCATCTTGTGTTGTTTTCTCCTCCATGTTTCAGGTAGAGAACATTTCAGAGCTCATTTCAAGGAGACACCCCTATTCATGGATAAGAAATTTTTCTTGGGTATCTTGGGGCAGATGCTCAGATCATGAGGGGCTCTGTGTGGGGGTGTGGCGGGGAGAGCTTCCTAGTTGACTGATAGCACACACCCCAGGAGGGAAAAAGAAGATAGAAAGGGTGGCATGGGAGGTGGGGATGGATGTGTGCCTTGTGTCAGGTCCCTTGATATCTCCTACCCCAATTTTTAGTTTAAAAACTCAGAAAGCAACAAAAATCCTTCAAGTAATTTGATTTTCTATGAGAATCAATGAAAAGCCTGAGCTTTGAGTCTGGTCGGGCTTGGGTCTGATTAATTTGCTGGGAGTGGGGACAGTGAGGGTGAAATGAGGCCACAGCGCACAGAGTAGGAGGGCAGGCAGCGGCGGGAGGCCCTGGAGCAGCACACCCACATGGAGAGAACACAGGATCGTACATGAGCAGGTTGGCTGCAGGAGGTTCTGGAAATTGCAAGAGGGCTTTTGACTGTTCCAGGCTGAGGAATTTAAGTGTACATTAATATTACTCCAATCCTCAAGGGCACCCATTGGCGTCTGAATTACATATGTATATGATAAGAATATTAATAGAGTCCAGTTTTTGAGCAATGTGCTAAGTGTGTTTCATAGGTATTATATCATTTGATTCTGTTTTCATAACAACTGCAAAAGGTAAGTATTATTACTGCTTCTACAAGGTTCATTCCTATTATAAGTTCTTTTTTTTTTTTTTTTTACATTTCATGTTCAAACTAAGTAACTGTAGGATACATATAGTTCCCTGAACCACACAACAAAGGAAGTTAAAGGAGTAAAAAATAAACTAAAAAGAAAACTGAGGTGCAGGGTGCCTGGCAGCCTGACTCCTAAGCTTGTACTCTTGTGCATAACGTTTCTCTCCCTTCCCTTCTCCCATCTACCCATCCACCTATTCTTCCATCCATCTGTCTATCCTTCTACCCACCCACCCATCCATTTGTCCATCTGTCTGTCTGTCCATCCACCCATCCACCCATCTCTCTATCCATCCATCCACCCATCCATCCCTCCATACATACATACATCTTTCTGACTATATCTATGTCAACTTACAGACATAATTCCTTTTTGAGTGGGAGGTTGGATTAGATAATCTAAAATGTTCCTTCCAGATCTGGGGTTCTATGAAGTACATTTTGCCTTAGACTATACTGTGATTATTCTTGGCAGGGTGTTTATCTTCCTAATTAAGTTGCTTGGACTCATTTTAACATATGTCTCAGAGCCGGCATGGATCAAAGAGATAGTTCAGCCCAGGTTCCCCATTTTATGGTTGAGATGAAGTGACTCACTAAAGCTCATCTGGTCCAGAGCTTTGCCAGGATACCATTCTGCTTCAAATTATTTTGAACCCTGGATATATGGCAAGTGCTGAATAAGGACAATGATCCAGATGATCCAGATCGGCAATGAGCAAGAGGGAATGGCAGCCTGGAATTAGAACATCTCCTGTTTCTACCTCTCTTGTATGCCAAGGGTCACTGATGACAATGATGATGGACTTGGTAGTGATGATGATGATGGCAATGACTCCTGCAATTCATTGAGCCCTTATATTAGAAGGGATTTGAGGAGTCATCCAATATACCTTCTTGTTTCCTGCCAACTTACGCCTGATTCATTTCTGAAGGATGCCTGCCTTATCTAGAAAATGCTTGAAACATTTTCTAGTCTCTATTTGAGCCATCTCAAATAGATTTGAGCATCATTTCCCTCTGTTACATATGCCTATTCTTTTTCCCCATTTAAAAAATAAATAACTAGGGGCACCTGGGTGGCTCAGTCAGTTAAGCTTCCGACTTCGGCTCAGGTCATGATCTCACTGTTCATGGGTTCGAGCCCCACGTCGAGCTCTGTGCTGACAGCTAGCTCAGATCCTGGAGCCTGTTTCAGATTCTGTATCTCCCTCTCTCTCTGACCCTCCCCTGCTCACTCACTCTCTCTCTCTCTCTCTCTCAGAAATAAATAAAATAAAAATAAAAATGAATGACTATAGAACAGCATAGAGTTCACTGAACCACACAGCAAAAGGAAGTTGAAGGAAGCAAAAAGAAGTAAACGATATGATCATGGGCAACAAGACATTGATGACAAATTAGAAGCTGGGCTTGGAGATAGAGAAGCTGGTTTCCCTGAGACACAAACACCATATTCACGCTGATCCCTTTTTTTTCCAATTCCAGGAAAGTGGGTGAAGTTGAGTCACCTGGAGGGTGTGCCAAAGCCTAGTTGGTACTTTGGACTTTTATTTGCAGCAAGACTGCTCCCATTTTCTCTCGGAGCTGAATTACGTGATCTCTTGGCTTCCAACTCTGTCTCCATTTGCTCCCTTTGAGAAGGAAGAAATAAGATGCAGAAGACAATACTATCATTCATTGAGTACCTACACTATGTTAAGCACTGAGCTTTACATATTTTATATCACCTGTTCATCTCAGAGATACTGAAAGGATGGATTATTATCCCCATTTTACAGATGAGAAATCTGAGGTCTAGAAAGTTAGAGTGACAGCCCCAGGTTTCCCTGGTTGGTAAGTGATGGATGTCCCATCGAGCCTGACCTGTATGCTCTACAGTCACTCACATGAAGAAAAGAGCATGGAACATTATGGCCTCATTCCTCCTTAAAGTCTGAGATGGACATGATTTCTCCTGCCCATCCCCTGGCTGCCACCTCCTCTAGTCTATGATCTTCATGTTCTGACAGAATGATCCTTCTCTTCCTACATATATGATCGTGGATCAAGGGATGGAGTGGTTCATCCCCCACACTTGCACATATCATAGACTCTTAAATCCCACCTCCAGCTTTAACTCATAACATCAGGTAGGGCTTGCTCTCCACTCATTCACCTGCTCTTTCTTCCATGGAATCAACACCTACTTTTGCACACCTGTGCAATGTCAGGGTGCAGGGTGGCCTCTGCCAGACCATACTTCCCACTATGGAGGGAAGCACCTAGGAGGTGACTGGGCCCATCCCAGGTAGCACATAGCCCTACCAAATCGGGTCGGAGTAGAGAGCTCCCAGGGAAGCACATGAGAGGTGATTCAGTGGAGCGGCTGTCAACACACTTAAGGGCACATGTCCCACTGTGCCAGGCTGAGGAGAAACCAGCTCCTCTGTTTGGCACATAGTCTGTTCCTAGTAGCAGCAAGCCCGCAGCAGGGTACAGCAGAGCTACAAGGCCAAGTGGAAGTAGAGCTGTCACATGGGTTTTTAAAATCAAATCAATGGTCTTTACAAACTGCCATCCAAAATCTTTCAAAAAGGGACAGAGAGGTAACAACAGCAGTGACCTCACTCTTACCTCCAGTTCAAGCTGAATAAAGAGCAATCCTATATGGATGGAAGAGAGTAGATAAAGTTCCTCAGGTGGCTCTAGTGTCAGCTTCAGGGTGGTAGATGTCCCTAGATGGGTTCCCTTGCCCCTCTTCAAAACGAGGACAGCTGGGTTTGAGTTTATTATCCTACTCTTGAATCCGAAAGACCATCCTAAGAGCAAGACAAGCCCTTTGAAGGGTGAGGGCATGGGGAAGCTAGAAGGGAGCTGCTGGGAAAATGGGTGCGGGGTGGGAAGGCAAGTTGTGTGTAACTGTGTTTTGTTCGAGGGACATCACCCTCACCAGGGAGTGAGGATGTAAGAGGAGGTACTCCTGACCCACCTGTGTCGATCAGCCTTGTGTTGATGCTAGGGCCTCAGTTTCCTACCAAGTCTTACTTTATAGGTAGCACCAAGTTTCCCTATTAATTAGGGCAGTTGAACACAATGAAGTGGTCATTCCTTGGTTGTCTTGAAATACACGTATGAAGCAGTTCAACCAAAGACAGCACGTCCAACCAGTCCTCCAGGAAGGGGCCCTCTCTTTTCAGAGGAGTCGCAATAAGGCCTGGCCAGTTGTATGAGTCCCTATCAGCTCCGACAGACCAGGTCCTTACCAGGGCCAGGAAGGCACCAGGGTTTTGGGTGTGTGCATGAGAGCATATACAGAAACTGCCACACCCACGTCCCACATACCATGACAGGGTGGAGCCATTTGTTGTCCTCCCTTAATCTTTTCATCATTTTTAGAAATACCTTGCTTTGACAGCGCTGGGTCCCTAAGGACACAGCCCAGAAATGCTCAGCAGACCCTAAGGGCACCTTTCCAACAACAGCCCCCCTTATCTGCCACTCACGTCTGGGGATCCTAAGACTCCAACCACAGCCATGAATAATATTTATTTCCTGAGGGGAAGCAGGGGTCATGTCTAGCTGTGTCTAACTTCCAAGCCTGTATCCACAAGCCTATGGCACCTCATATTTCCCTCTTTTGGCATTTTCTCAAGTTGCACAAAATGGTCAGGGAATTTGGATTAATAAATGAGTTACTATATTGCTACTCTACAAAGACATGGTAGAAAAAAACAACACTCAATATGATCTTGAACAATATTTAATGTCTGCTGTTTCAGAAGACACTTTAGGATCTTGAAGGGCTTTAGGGTTGAGCCTTTGATAGTGACTACCAATCCTCAGGGTGCTGTGTGGACGTACAGAAGCACTGTTTGAGGGAGGCAGCAGGCAGCATGGAATAAGGAGGCAGAGTCCTTGCTCTGTCACTGAACAGCAGAGTGATCGCAGATGAGTCCCTTCCCTTCCCCAGCAGCATGGGTCACGAGAGTCTTGTCTCTGAGATTCCTCCCAGCTCTGATATTCTGTGAGTAACTAGCAGAAAATGTGCTGTGTTGCCTTCCCATAGAAATTGGAAAAAACTATGCGCAGCAGCATAGATAAGGCCTCAAACAGTTCTTTGGTATTTATAAAGCCTTTGGGCTCAGACTCCCATCTCAATGTTGGCCCGGCCCTGGGGTCAGTCACATGCAGGCTGAGAGCAGGAGCGGGAGAATAGGGATGTCGAGTCAAGGGTCACTGCACGGGTTATCATGATAAATTCATCAAGCCCATGGACAGGGGTCCTCCCCAGTGGATGTGTGCTGTGTGGTCACCTATCTTGCCTTCTCAGGCCAACCAGAGCTCTTCTGATCTCAGCCAATGGACAGTTTTAGTTACAGGGTCGCATCCTAACCTTGGGACTGGAGAGAAGATGACAGACCTACTCCTCCTGGCCCCTGTCCAGAAGGCCAGAACCAAGAGAGGGATCCTGCAAGATATGAGCCAGTCCCCTTCCACGCGGGCATTCTGGGAGACCCACATTTCACACGACACTGCATTTGCCTAATGTCCCTGACATATCCACTGTCTCATCTGACCTTTTTTACCTCAGGCTCAGCACCCTCTCTCCCCTCAGTTCTGGCTGGGCTGAGCTCTACTCAGTGTGAGAAAATCTCCAACACAAGCAGAACTCTTGAGGGATGCCTCCTTGTGTCATATAAATAGTTTCAATTATATATACAGCCTATAGTATACACACACACACACACACACACACACACACACACCATCTTGTTGAAATCATCTTCAGGATGATTTGGGCAGGCACTCACTGACACAACCACTCTGAATATAAACATATGCGTACGCTGGAATCCAATCCCTGTACCTCAGAGAGAGGCACACGCTGGAGAGAAGCCCACCCTTGTCCAAGCCCTGAGCTGTTGGCTGGGAGAGGACCTGCGCCTCCTGTGTGGCAGAAGGCGAGGAGGGGATGGCGGGGCCATGCTGGTGGCCCGTGACTACTCCTTCAACAGTCCCAGCTTCCTCAGAGCCTCCCTTCTGTGCTCATCAGGGACGCCTTTGGGGGAGATCTTGACACTGACACAGGGGGGTCGGGGCAACTTCTCACGGCTTTGTCCTTGGTAGGGCAGGCGCTTCGTGCTCTGATCCTGCTCCAGGTCAGCCAACTTGCCCACCTGGATCCCAGCAAAGTCCTTCCCCATGCCCAAGGAGGCAGGCCGGGGCCTCGAGTTACGCAAGACATTGGGAGACATCTTGTCCAAGAAGGAGCCCTTGCCCAGAGAGGTGCTGGTTTTGGGGCTGGGATCTTTCTCGGCCGAGAGGTAGCTGCTCAGCCCCACTCCCGAACGCTCCAGAGTGTTGGACTTGAAGTTCATCTGTCTCACGCCGGGGATGTTGCTCTCCTGGAGACTCAGCCCTGAGTCTGGCTTTGGCTGCGTCAGGGGACCACCTGCCCTAGGGCCCTTTGGGATGGGAATTGGCATGGATTTGGCAGCCGGAGACTTGCCTGGAGTGGACTCCTGGGAAGGAATCAAACCCTTGCCTGGAGAACGACCCTGAGCTGGAGTTGGAGCCTGAGCCTTCGCTGGAGAAGGTCCCTGAGTCGGAGCGGGAGCCGGAGTCTTCCCTCCAGCAGGCGCAGCGGCTGTGCCCTGAGCGGGCCACGGCGGCTGAGCCAGAGCTGGAGCTGGGAAGGGGGCCTGGGCATGGGTCTCCTTGAGCCGGGTGGAGCTGGTGCGTTTACTTAAGTGGGGGCCAGGCTCTTCCTGGTCCTGGGGTAGCCCAAGCTTCTCCAGGGCCTCTCGGCGCGCCTTCTTCTGTTCCTGCAGCGAGGAGGAGGCCGGGCAGGCATCTCCGGGGGTGGCCTCAGAGTGCCGAGACAACCAGCTGTGGGGCTCACTGTGAAAACTGCTTCGACTGCTCTTGAGGACGATATTGGGTGGCAGCTTCCTGGGCTTAGGAGCTGTGAAGGGAGCTGGCCGGGAGCCAGTGTCCCCCCCGGATGGGATGGAAGCATCTTCGGCTCTCACACTCTGAGACGATGTGGCGGAAGAAGGCTGAAGCTGCTCTGGTGCCCCTGTTGGGCCTTTCTCAGTGGCTTTTTGGGACATGGCCTCCAAGGAAGTCTCCTTTCTCTCCAGGAGGCTGGGTGACTGATGAAGCCGGAGCGTATGGCTCTGCGGCCCTGGCCCCGTGGGCAGGTCACCTTCCCCACGCTGCTCTGGCTGGGCGTCCCGAAAGGCCTCTGGTGGAGGGATGGGTACTGGGTCCAACTCAGGGGCAGGCGTCGGGGGGCCAGCCAGAGTCTGGCTGCACTCACCACTTTGGCCGGCCTGCTCTCTTTTGGGCTCTGGGTCAGCCCCCTCAGGTTCCCCCGGGATGTGGCTACTGGTCTGAGTGGTGCCTTCCCCAAGGTCCTGCTTCCTGCCGATGTGGATATTTCTGGGGAGGCTATGCGAGCCAGACCTGAGGCCCAGGCCTTGGGGCTCAGGCAGATGGGGTGAGCTGGACTGAGTTCCCCTCCTTGGCTCCGGTCCTTGCGGAATGATCTTCTCCCCTGGATATCCTGTGAGGGCCCCGGAGGACAGGCAAAGAAGAGTGGACAGAGGTGAGAACCCTGCTGCCCAGGGCAAAGCAAATACCTCCTGAACTCTGATCTCCACTTAGCAATGGGTTTTGGTTTTTGTTGATTCTTTGTCTTAAAGGAGCCGCCCTGTTGCCTGGATATTCAGACTGACAGATCACTACGAGCAGACTCGCTTCAACCTAGGGTTATTTTTCCATGATGGCTGGGGAAAGAGCAGCCTCATGTAACTCCATGTCCTTGACTCGGGCTCTTCCTAAGCTTCTACAGAAGCACCAGGGTTGGGGAGAGATTCCCTCTAGCTATCTCTGGGCTCCCAAGTAACTGAGTCCAGTGGCAGCATTGAACATGAATACCATGAACAGCAGATTTGCTCTTGATTTGACCAGACTTCTGCCTTCTTCCACCTTCACTTCCTGTAGACACCTGAATGATTCTGGAATGACCACAGATGTCCCCACACCAGAGAGTGACATGGGCTCTTTCCTTCCAGCAAGCTAGGCAGGTGCATCAGGCCCACGGGCCGAGGAATCAGTCTGAGGAAGCAATGAAGCCTTTGTCCCCATTTACTGCTGTATCTCCATGGAGGTTCTAACACATTGTCAGTAAATATTTGCTACGTGAATAAATAAAGGATTGTAGTCCTGATAGCAGTGGGGCTATCTTCAGGAGTAAAGTGCCCCCCTCACCCTGGGACACATGGCCCCACCCTCACGGCCACACTCATGTGCTATCCTGTCCCCCTTCTGCTGAGCCTCAATACCACTGGCTTTCCACCCTGTCTCACAAGAGCCTTGAGGTGCCACCCACTGAAGTTAAGGGGGCCCTTCCCTTTTATCTCTTGCAGCCTCATCCTCCTGGGTCATCCAGATTAGCTCTCCAGACACACTTTGTGTCCCCAGAGCAACCATCCACCCCTCCCAGATCCCCTCCCATGGACCTCTGCGGTCATGTCTCTTCCAAATTTCTCTGAGAGAGAGAACTGGAGCTAGTTAAACGTTTTCCCTCCCAAGCCTCTGATACTTCAGAGAAAGACAGAGGAAGCTGGCTTGTCCACAGTCTCTCCTCCTCTCCAGGACAAGGCTTTATTCTGGACAGGGGTGTGGAGCAGAGTGCTGTTGTTCCTTCTGCCTATGACCCTCAGAGCAGAGGGCAAACAGGGTTCAAAGCAGTCACAAGAATGTCCTGGCTTTCTGGGTTTGCTAGCAGTGCCACCCCAGATGGTCTCTCTTACCCTGGGGAGCAGGCTGGATTATGGGCCGTGCTCGGGGGCCGCGGGGGGCCGCGTCTTGCTCAGACTCGTCAGTGGACAGTCCACTGTCAGCTTCAGCATCCAGCGAGCCGATGGTCTCCTCCAGGAAGAGCAGACACTCCTTCTCTTCAGCGGACAGGAAGTCGTAGCTGCTGTCACTCTGGAATGAGGCGTGGAGGACAGAGAGGGAGAGAGGGAGCTGTGAGAGGGAGCTCCCCAGAAACTGGTGGGGCTGAGAACCACCCTGTGTCTGGAAGGAATGCTGAAGGGCTGGAAACCTCTCCACGAGGGGACTCCGCAAACTTGCGGGAGTTGTCTGTCTCCTGAGAAACCGCAGGCACCGGATGGGGCGGAGACTGGCGGCTGTGGACCCACTAGCACCTAGTGCTGGACAGGCCGATGGCAATTGGCCTCTTTTGCTCAGTCCTGGGTGGAATGTTTAGGGGAACAGATCAGAAGCAGGCCCTGGTTCTAACTCCAGGTCCTCTGTGTGACCTGTATCAAGCATATCCCTCTAAGTGTCTCCGATTTAGCTCTGAATTATATGGGCAACCTAATGATTTGACCTTAAACTTGAATGGTATTGTTTTTAACTTTTCGAAGTATTTTTGCACACTTGATCTGGTATGTCAAGGACAGTACGAGGACAAACAAGAAATGCAGCCAACCACTGGCTATCAGGCCAATGGGAACAGTGGTATGACTAGCCACAGATAAACTTACTAAAATATTTTACACTTGACTTTGAAATGCATTCCATACAGGATTTTTTTTTCTTTTGTGTATTTACTTTCTTGATGGCATGTGGCTCTGGCTAACATTCAAATAAGTGTGCATTTCTTAAGCAAATATTAACTTGAGGGGGGTAGGGTGGAGAAACTGGATGGGTATGGGAGGAGGGGAAAGCAACTTAGTGTGAAATATCAAGTAGATATTCAAGTATAAATAAATAATTGTCATGATGAAAAAGCACATAGGGGTATTCAGGGAAAAGTGTCACGGCCATTTGAAATGGTTACTGCCCAGGGTCAGCAAGGCCAGGAAGATCTATAGAATAGTTGCTGTCTCAAGTTGCAGGTTGAAGGGAAAACCAAAAGGCCAAGTGGAGATGCAAGAAATTTGGCTTGGGTTCCCTCTTGGCATCTATCTCACTCCTCTTCCTAGTATTTGAGATACTTTAGAGTTATATATTCTCCAGACCCACTCAGATGGCCAGGAAAGATTTGAGATGGCCCTAAATATATCCTAGGAGATGGTTGTTGGAATAACCTCTCTCCCCACCCCACCCCCAGTTCCGCTGACTCCTTAAAGGGCCATCTGTCAGGCCGACTTGTCAAAGGAAGCCCCAAATATAGCCCGTGGAAGCCCTGAAGCCAATTCCGGGTGTTCCCTGAACAAAATCTTCCCTATGGACCTCTTCTTCCTAAAATAGCCTTGCAAAAGATAAACCAACTGAATTTCTCCTTTGTGGAGGATTCAAGTTCCTTGAAGAACTTTAATCCGTGCCACATTCTGTGTCCAGTAGTATGTAACCGCTCATATTGGCTTCAGCCTAACAGAAACAGAAAGACAGCTCTGTGGTCCCATCATCTTGGGTCAACAAGAAATTATATACAGATTGTCTGCACTTTGGATTGTGTGTGTGTGTGTGTGTGTGTGTGTGTGTGCATGCGCTGCTTTCTGTACTCCGTTTTTACATATCAAAACTCACTGGCTATATTAAAAGTCCTTGACATTTGGTAGAGATCCTCATAATCCTTAAAATTTTTAAGTACCTCTATAGGATATAGAGCAATAGAGTATAAATTCTCAAGGGTTATTAGGTATGCGATTGAACACCAATTGCAAAGGAATGTTTACATTTGGACATAGGACAGATGTACTCTTTCACACCAGCCTTATAACAACTGAGACTTCAATTCATTCCCAGAAAAATTAGGATTGGTTACATGCCACTTACAAACAGTTAAACACAATGACTGGAAGATTTTGAATCTATACTCGTAGATAAAGCTATTTCTTTTCTATATAGAGGCTGGTGCTGAGTGTTTTGTGTTTTATACATATCTCATTCACTCCCCTCAAGAATTCGGTGTTTACGTTATATCCTACCTTAAAATGGAGGAGACTGAAGCTTACAGAAATTCAATAATTTGCCCAAGGCCATAGAGCTTATAGATAGAGAACTCAGATCGGCTTAGCTCCAGAACCCAGGCTCCTAATTACTCTCTTCTCTGTGATCTTTGTAGAAGATTGAAGGCACCCTGTTGGCTGCAGGAGGCTTCAGGAATGTGAGGGCCATGGTGATCTACCATCTGGTTTCCACCAGGACCTCAGGTCACTGGCCCTCCCTCTTACCTCAACTTAGCCCCCAGTGAATGAAAGCTGGGAGCAAGTCTCATCTGTCCTATTGCTCTTTGGGACTGTCCCACCCTTTCTCTAGAGAACCTGGGTGACTCAAAGGCAGAAATACCAACTGGTATGATTCACTCTCTGACAAGGAAGATGAAAGCGAAGGAGCAGCCAGGCTGGTGGTGGGCAGGGCAGGGAGGGGCGGGAGGAGCGGGCAGACAGAAGCAGGGGGCAGGCTGCAGGACAAGAGAGTACGTACAGATCCAGAGCGGGTGGACACGGTGCTCATGATGCTGTCGCGGCTGCTGACGCGGGTCACAGGTTCCGAGCCAGGCCCCTCTGGCCACAGCTCGCTCCTGGGCATCGCCTGAAGCAAGGTGCAGGGGCGGTGAAAGGGGCTCCCAGAGGGGAAGTGAAGGGAAGTGAAGAGTGTCCCAAGCCGGCCTGAAAAGAGAAGAATCAAAGCCACGTGTGAGCTGAGCTGAGGCTCTCCGGGGAGGCTCTGCCCAGGCCCTGGAGCAGCGTGGAGGCAGGGACACCAAAGAAGCAGAGAGCTGGAAGGGGCCATGCACGGCCGTTCCCCACGCCCCCCGGCCTGCGTGGAAGGGCACAGAAGCGGGCTCACACACATGCAGGAGGAAGGACTCAGGGGGTGCAGAAGCAGTCTAGTCAGAGAGGGAATTTCATACTTTTCTTAGCCGCTTGTTTCTCTGAATCAGGGAGCTTAGCCTACATTTCCATGACTACAATCAATAGGAAGGGGTTAATAGTGTGGGTTCTGGAGGAAGTCAGATCTGGATTCAAACCCCGCTTGCATTTACAGTTATGTGACTTGGGGCAAATTACTCTTTGACTCCGTTTTTCTCAGTAAGTAGGGTTAATGTAAGGATTAAATGAGAACGGTTTGCACAGCTTAGTTGGAAGTAAATACTCAATGAATAAATGACTGCTTCTGTTCTTGTAATAAGAAAAAGACAAGTTCCTTCGAGGATCAAGGTAAACTCACCTAAGGGAACAAGAGTTTAGAAAAGAAGGGTTTGGGTTACATGGAAGAGAAGGAACAGGGCCCTTGAGAGCACCAACCACACAGGGTTGTCACGAACACATGCTGAAATGCTCCATGTAAAACACTCTGCAGTAACTGTTTGCTGCTATCATAGCCAATATCATCAACATCCTCACGACAGCCCCCTCCCCACCACCAGAGCCACCCTCATCTCCCTAGTCTGGGAGCCTCACCATAATTCACAGAGATTGACACAAACCCAGTTTCCCTCTTGTATACCACCCACTCCGAGGCTCCACTTATTTCCAGCAAGGTCCCCTAACCTTTGTCATATGAACAAGAGAAATGTCCTGCATAGCTTCCACCCGACTCCAACTTGTAGGGAAAAAGAGTTTCAAGTTCATTGTGCCAATAGTAATAGCAAAGGAAGGAGATACCATCTTCTTTGCGAAAATGCCAAGATCTGGAAAGGCCAGAGGTGACTCTCCTATGTTGAAATAAAATTCTGGAAGAATTAAGTTTAAAAGCCAGTTCCAAGTTCAAATAGGGAGTTTGGGGAGAGCTAGGATTAGGATCCAGTTTGATTCTGAATCTATATTATTCCTCTGACACCATGATATATTTTCTATTACCTTTCCTACACCCCGGCCCCCATACTAAGTAAAATGTCCTAGAAAAAAATATGTTCTATTTGAGAACTTGGGACCTGGGGTTGGGATTCCAGGGAGGTTGTCTCTTTGGCTTCTGCCAATAACTTCTTCCACTGCCAAGTCAGGTTTGGGCTATGCTGGGTGAGTCAGCTTGCCAATCCTGTAGACCTGACCAGTGCAAGGCTGCTTTGGGTGGGTGGGTGGGGGGGGGGTGTCTGCAAGTGGGGCAGGTAGGGAGGAGCAGGACAATGGGGAAAGAAGAGGGAAAAATCCCAATGAGCCAGACACATGGAGTTCATAAGGGTCCAGAACCTCTCAGGAGATAGGGACAGGACCAGAAGGGACAGATACACCAAAGAATCCCAGTGACAAATCAGCACTGGGTAAGATAGCTCTTAAGTCTTCTTCATGAGGTTTCTTTCCCAACATCCAGAACCCCAAAGAAACAGAAACATGAAAAGTCACGTGGATGAAGATCAGTCTCCTCAACTATCCATTCCATTCATGACAGGTTAGATTCATAAGGTACCAACTCATCCCTAACATTCTGTAGGGCTGAGGCCATGACAGCAAAAGAGATCCATTTCTCATAAGCTTAGGCACACAGTAGGCACTCAAAAAATCCTGGATGAATAAACTTGTCATCTGTTCTAGTATCTATTGAGTTGAGCTGTTGGAAGACCTCTTTTTTGTTGTTGTTGTTTTTACTCTATTATTATAAACTCTTAAGTATTTTATTTCCCTGAGAATATACAACTCAGTGGAATTTGGGCAATGCCTTCAACTAAGCTAACAGTCATGAGCCCCTAACAGGGATGGGGAAGCAAAGCTTTATAAGACAAAGGCATTGCTTCCAAGCAGTCAGTGTCAATCTAAGGGTCTAGTTTTTGGCTCCAGTTTTCTTATCAAAATTGGGGCAATAAATATTAGTATGTATTGATCACTGTAGTTAATATAATACTCTGTGCATGGGTGACCGGATGATGCCTCTTCCTTTCAAGGAAGTACTCTTCCAACTTTATGATGGACTGCTAGCCTCTCCCTCCTCCCAGGGCAACCCATCACACTTTCATTTTGGAACTAAGGATAGCCTAAAGTAGCTGGGAGAGAGAGAAGCACTGCTTAAAAAAAAAACAAAAAACAAAAAACCCAAAACATAGCATGGTCTAGCTTACACTTTCAGTTATGCTAATTAGATCTTCAAAATAGCCTGATAACTTAGATGAGATGCGATATTTACTTTGACAGATGAGAAATCTGGGGCTCTTTCTACTTGCACTTCCTAAGGGAAGTAGCGAATGACCTATAACTGCATATACAGGGCAGCCTGTGGATCCCCGCTGCTCCAGAAGGCATCTCAGAGATGCAAGAGGGCCGCGTTGTACCTAAAGAAGGGTCACTGGTTACCCCTGACCGAACACTAAAAGCCCTAAGATCACCTTTCTCCTTTTACTTCATACCTTAAACCCTCTAAATTATCTGGTTCAGCTTTATGCTGCCAGGCCAGCTTTTTGCCCCAACAACAGACATTTCCAGAGTAAACAAATGCCACCAAACGCCACTGAAGATCATGTCATCAGGCACTACATAATCACTGCCGAGGTGAATCTGAGCCTGAGACCAAAGTCAGATGAGTGCTTGCATCTCGGCTCCCCACCCAGTTTTCTGATCCGAAGAATATGAACCTGAAGAGTCTTCTCTTCTTCCAGCCTCCCACTCTCTCTTACCACTCTGGCTTGACCTGGAGGCTGTGTTTCTATCCATCAACTTTACAACCTTGAAACTTGGGGGCTACTTCAGGGCAGCCATCGAAACTTGAAGTATTTTGACCTGATAAGAAGTCTGAGAAACAAGCAAAACGCTCAAGGTGAGAGTTTGGTTTCTTTTCACCCTTGACCTCTTTGGGGGATCTGAGTGGAGGAGGAAATGGGTGAAGACATATGCACAGCCTATAGCCAGGGCCACCCAAACAAAAGCACGTTAAATATTAACTGCTCCACTGAAGCCAGCCAAGTTTTGGAGGAAAGTAAATAAATAGTATTTGGAGTCCTGGCATGGGGCAGGGGCAGGGCTCCAGCCCCATTCCTGTTTGGCTTCTCTGTACCTCCTAAAGTATTTTTTTTTTAATTTCTGAGAGAGAGAGAGAGAGAGACAGTGTGAGCAGCGGAGGGGCAGAGAGAGAGAGGGAGACACAGAATCTGAAACAGGCTCCAGGCGCTGAGCTAGCTGTCAGCACAGAGCCCGACGTGGGGCTTGAACCCATGAACCATGAGATCATGACCTGAGCTGAAGTCAGCTGCCCAACTGACTGAGCCACCAGGTGCACCCTCTGTACCTTCTAAACAGACCCAATGCCCCCTTGTCACCATCCTCCCATGAGCCCACATCCTATATCCTCCAAGAGCTCAACCTATCTCCCCACTAGTCAAAGAGACTTCCTATTTCTCTCAGACGAAGTATCTCTCCTTTTTGCTGACTATCCAGAAGTACGCCTCGGGCTGAGGAACATCCTAAGTAAAACACCAGGAATACTAATAAAGGTTGCCCTGTGTGTATGTCCTTCTCCATGAGCACATGGGCAAGTTTCTGGGTGTGTTTAGTCAACGTTAGAATCTCCTGTTTCACAGGTGGGTTTCAGGAAAAGGTGGCTAGAAATATCTTCTGCACAGAAGAGCTCTGTTTGACACTTACAGGCTGTCTTATCCTGACAAGTTCACCACGTGCAACAGCCCTCAGTCAGTGAGTTTGGTGGGCTGATTCTGTGGTGTGGGCTAAGCTAAAACCTAAAGCGCCAATTGCCAGGACTGGAAACGCAATATATTTGCTCAGGGCTTGTATGTGCCAGGCCCGGGAGCCTGGTGCAGGGGTCTTCCCACTTCGCTCTTTGCTGCAGCAAGAGGAAAAGAGGCAAAGCTAGGGACCCAAATGCCTCCCTTCCCCAAGGTGGATAATGGAGAGCTGACTTGCTACCCTGAACCGACTTCTACATCCAGCTTCCCTGTGCAGGTGAGCCTGCCACCCAGACTGTCAACTGGGGCACCTGAAGGAGGACAAAGCAAAGCCACCACGAGCCTGAGCTGCACTGAGAACTCCTACCAGACCCGAGGTACTACCGTGAAATATTAATGTGGGTGAGGCCCTGGCACAGCGGGTGAGGAGCTTTTTGTCTGCCAGTCTCTGTGTCTAATAGTAGGCAAAGTCAGAAAATTGAGTTGAATCCAAAGAAACTCACTTTTGCAACCAGATTATGCGTGGGTTTTCCAAAGGTAAACTGGTATCTGAGGTAGAATTTTCCCAGCCTCACATCCCCTTACAACCAAGCACAGCTCACACCTGACATGTCCACAGAGCGCTCCATTATCACACTACCATTATTGAACACACACACAGCACCCTTTATTTAAATATAGACATTGAGTTGATACAACCATGGGCAAATTTCCTGTTATAAATGCAACGGAGAAATCATGGCACTTTTCTCCCCTCAATGATCCCCCGTTTTGACTGCCTGGGCTCCCAACTATTCCTTTCCAAAATCACAGCTCAATTTCAATTGCTCAGAGATGGAAATGTCCAACACGAACCCATTTTGTTTTCTTGTTGTCTGCAAAATATGCTTATCCAACCTAAATAGGCAGATGAGAAAAAAAAATGCATCCCAGCCCTGAATGCATCCCAGCCCTGTTCTCCACTGAAACATTCCAATCGTCAGAGCTACCAGCCTGCTCTGATTGGCAGAGTGGGCTCAGAGAGTTCAGGAACAGAGAGGACAGCCCCCTAGCTGGGGT